AAGAAAAGAAAAGAAAAGAAAAGAAAAGAAAAGAAAAGAAAAGAAAAATCACTATGGAAAAATCAGTTGGCCTCTCATTTGCAGTGCAGTGTGGAAGGGGTTATGTGGATACAAATCTCCAAGACTGTGGTCGAATGACCTCTGATACAAAGTTTTACCCCTCTTCAGTAAATAAGCGTATGTACATAATCAGTAAATATCCTTGGCAAAGTGCATTTATTAATACTTTTCTTTGCTCTTTCATTTATACATTCAACAGGTTATTACCGAGTGCCTATTATATGCCCAATCACCATGGTCCAGTGTCGACCTGTGTAAACATGGCACCTGTTGCCACCAAAGAGCCCATCTCTCCGTGGGGCCAGAAAGATGAAGCCAATGCTTGAGCAGGCAAAGTGTGAGAGATACCAGACCTTTTAGTGGATTGTGTATCTTTTGTTCTCCCAACTTCTGGTAGAGACAGCGAGCCATGGCTCTACTGTAAGGAAAACAACAGGGCCCATGGGAGGATGCGCCCGCCCGGGGAATCTGAGCAGACTACAGGCAGTGGTGGGGACAGACGCAGAAGTCGAAGGCCCCATTCAGGGAAAGCAGCCTGAACTCAGCAGCACTATTTCTGTGTGGGAAAGCCAGCGCAGGGTTGCCCAACATTCCTATTTCCACGAGAAGCCGGAACCCTTGATTTTTTGTGAATTCTGCTCATTCTAAATATTCACTCTAAATTTAAAAAAAAAAAAAACTCTTGAAGCCGAATAACCTGTGTCTGCCATCTTGCTTTGATTGATGCAGCTATTCTGTGAAGCCAGTCTAAAGATTAAAGACCTATAATCAGCTGATTATAATCGGCTGTTATAAAGGGGATGTTTCTTGTTGTGACCACAGAAATTAAGCTGCAATCTGTCAGAAACCGGGGTCAAAATGAGTGCACATCTGAATCACAAGTCAAAACCAGGATGTTTTACCTCAGGCGCCGGGTCTCAAGTTGCCAATGACTGTTCATTTCCACCTGACGGCTTTTCTTAGAAGTTTCCAGGAGATTTAAAGGGAGAATGTGAGGATGCAGCAGCCTGGGCCTTTTCACAAGGCCTGATGAGAAAATGGACAGAAGAGATTCTTAAGCCTAAATGACAGGCTGCCTTTGGAAAATGCATTCTGGGCCATCCGGGGGATGGGGCGATTCTGACCTTTTATCTCAAGCAGCTAAAAAAATAGGAAAGGTAGGAGATCCCTGAAGTGTTAAGCATGCCCTTGATGGAGTGGCTGGTGCTTACATATGTTCCTTCACCGCTCCCAGGATGAGGCCAGGCATCCCCGTCTCCAATTCCTCTCCTCTTACCCAGCCCCTTCCTTCTCCCTCTGGCTTAGGGAGCCAGGGCCAGGAGCGCACGGGGGTCGGAAGTGAACAGCGACAGTTAACTGACACGTTCAGCTTTTAAATCAAAGTAAGCCTGGGGAGGCTCCTTTAAAGCAGAAGAGTCTCCCGTAGACATCAGCGTGAGCCCCGAAGTTCTCCCACAGCTCACCCTTTGCCCCAAAGGCGATCTCCTCCACCCTGGTGTGTGCGATTTACATCCCACCTCCTCCAAAAGGCATCTGAGGTAGCCTAGGTGAGAAGACACGCAGGAAGATCACTGTATGAACCACAGAGCGGTGAGTGACGGAGGCAGGAGACTCTCTACTGTTTCTACGCTGTCTGGTAAATGGCCGCAAGAGCGCTCCCTTCTGGAGCCTTTGATCCTCTCGCGTTCCCGTCACCACCCAGCCCAAAATGAGTAATAATGACTTCTAAAGCTCTCCACCCCCTGACTCTGCCCTTACTTTTTCTACCTTGTCCTCTCTCTGCAAGGTCAGTTTTCTGGGCCCCGGGTTGGTCTGCTTCCTCCCCACCCTCCCCAACCTTCTAAAATACCAATCTATCTATGAGGCCTGTCCTCTTTGCTGTCCCCAATCCTGCAATCCATTCCTTTGTAGGCTTACATTTTGTGAAGCTGTCTGTCAGAGGGCGGGTTGTCTGGAAACGGGTCCCCAGATGCGGACCGTTGAGGTGCAACCAGTAGAAATATAAGCCTGAGAAAGGGCGGGGAAGGACTGGTGGAGGGAATGGTCTTGTGGACCGGGCTGGGCAAGCCTGCCTGTCAAAGCTGACCTGCCTGAGTTGGCCTGACTTTCTTGGATGACTTCTGGAAGGCAGCTCTGCAGCCGAGGCAGTTCCTGAAAGACGGGGCGGCCGGAGGCTGTCTGTAGACCACAGTCTCCACAGCCGGCAGCAAGTCCTTTGAAAGGGGGTCTGGGTAGCACCCCCTCGGTTCTATCCCCAGGCTAATCCTATCAGAATCTGATCATCTGCCCCAGGCTAATCCTATCAGAATCTGATCATCTAAGGGCTCTAGCAACCCTAAAAGTAGATAAACAAGCCCACGGGCCCACTATGAATGTCTTTACACGTCACTCTTCCCATTTTGGGCGTCGTCGTGCACACACGTTAGCAAGTGACCCTGTGATCTCAGCACTGGTTCCCGAAAACAGAGCTTCCTGGTCTAAGATCTGAAAGAAAGGTAGACTGAGATATTTATGCATTAAATCCCTAGAGCAAACAGGAAGGTTCTGGGCAGTTTGCTTCCTTCAGCTCATTCCATTGTGCAGAATGAATATTACCCTTTTTAAAACTTTGGGACACGCTGCTCTAGAGCCATCTATTCTTGCCCTTGACTTAGTCACCGGTCACATACTTATTGGACGTTTACCGAGCACCGGGCGTTAAGCTAACCACTGGAGGTAGAGCGGGGAACAGGTCACATAAGGTCACTGCCACTGAGACACAGCCTAGTAGAAAAGAAAGGCTGGACAAGCAAACACAGAAACATAATCAGAAACAGTGTAAGCGCTACAGGAGAGGCTAACAGGGTGGGAGAGGATGGACGGAATGGCAAGACAAAGGCTTCACGGCTGCGTGCAAGCTGGGGCGTAAAAATACCTGTTTGCTGAGTAAACTCACCGCGGGTGTGCCTTCCAGCCGAAGAGGCCATGCCTGTGGTGGCCGTGACCACGTGCCCAGCAGACCTCCAACTAGAAGGGCCTTTGCTGACCAAGGCCCGGCCACCGTGCCTGTAACCACCCTGCCTGTACCTCTCCCACTGCGCGTGTCTTTTTGTGTCTAGAAACCTGTTTGCATGACTCCTCTTCTCACCAGATTTCAAGCTCCTGTGAGCCATTCTCTTTTCTTGTTTTCCTGCTTATTTATTTTGAGAGGGAGAGAGCGAGCGAGAGGGGGAGGGGCAGAGAGAGGGAGAGAGAGAATCCCAAGCAGGCTCCACGCGGTCAGCGGAGAGCCCAATGCGGGGCTCCAACTCACGGACCGTGAGATCATGACCTGAGCTGAAATCCAGAGTCGGATGCTGAACCGACTGAGCCCCCCAGGTATCCCAACATCCTCTTCTTGATTATCGTGGTAACAAATATTTCTTGATGAATAACTAAGTCTCCTCTGATGACTGTACCATTAAACGCCGAATCACTCCTTCACTCTCCAGCCCTCCAGGCTCACTTCATATTGTGCAGTAATTGCAAAGGTGTTGCCTTCAGGTGTGATCTCTCCTACCCGTTCCTGGAGGGTAAAACCTCTGTTCCCCTTTTTGTGCCTTTTCACGGGCCGCTCTATACCGACGTGCACATTCAAAGGGCCACCCAAACACTACTGAATGAAATGAGCGAACACGAATGGATATAAATCAATATGCAGTAGCGATTACCGACTAATGGGATTTGATTCCTCTCTTGGTTACCAGGATGGCGAAGTGACCGCCTGCGGCTTGCTGCAGGGTTTCATCTACTTAATGCTGCCCCAACATGTCTGCTGAAGATGATCAGTCATCAAGACGAACATCACCCCTTCGCTCTGCCACAACGTCCCAGAATTCCACACAGACCATATCTTCGGAGGAGGAGATCGCGGAAGAAGAGTGTTCAGAGAAAGACTATCTATTTCCTGAAGGGGAAGAGTATCTGGAAGAGGAGGAATATCTGGAGGAAGACGACTACCTGGAGGAGGAAAAGTTGCTGAAGGGGAAGGCGTACCTGTATGGAGAGGGGTATGCGAAGGCGGGAGAGCATCTACAGGAGGAAAAGGACCTGGAAGAAGAGTATCTGTTGGGAAAGTATCTGGAAGACGGTGAGTATCTGGATGAGGGAGAGTATCTGAAGGGAAAAGAGTAGGTGTGTGAAGAAGAGTATCTGGGACGGGTATGCGGAAGAGGGCCTTCTAAAAGATAGCAACTGGTGGGGCGCCTGGGTGGCTCAGTCGGTTGAGCGTCTGACTTCAGCTCAGCTCATGATCTCACGGTCTGTGAGTTCGAGCCCCACGTCGGGCTCTGTGCTGACAGCTTGGAGCCTGGAGCCTGCTTCCGATTCTGTGTCTCCCTCTCTCTCTGCTCATGTTCTGTCTCTGTCTCTCTCTCTCTCTTTGTCAAAAATAAATAAACATTTTTTTTAACAAAATTTTAAAAGATAGCAACTGTCATCCACCACCACGCCCAGGGAAAAAAGATCAAGCTTGAGATAGAGCCGAGGCTCAATCTGTCAGTGCTGCCCTCAGTGCCAACCGGTAGGAACACTCATTCCTGACCACGTTCTCCCAGTCTCAATAGCTGGGCCCCCAAGAACGGTGCCCACAGAGCAGAGAGGCTTAACGAAAATGAAGCACCTACTCGTAAACAAAACGAGCAGAATACAGCCCATAACTTGTATCTTTTCCTTACTGCACAAATAACACGTATTTATTGTGGACGTTAGGGAAACTGTATATGAGCAAAACGAAGAAAGCAAAAATCCCTCCCATCCAGAGGGGAATAATCACTTTCCCACTTTGGTTATACCCTCACCAGGCTCTATAAAGTGTTTGTAACCTGCTTTTTTAAGGTACATTTATTTATATATTTATATATTGCAATCACACATAAATATATACTTCTAGGAATATCATTTCATGTTATTAAATTTTCTCCAAATCATTTTAATAGCTGCATTGCACTGGATTGTATTTGCAAGCCGTAATATTTTCAATCGATTCCCTACTATTATTATTAATTCATTTCTACTCATTACGTTTGTTTTCCAAACGGCATTTTGAGAAACATCCTTAGAGCTCAATTTTATCAATGACCTCCAATTACTTCCTAGAATACATCCCACAATCTGTTGCTAGGTCAACAGACACTAGTATGCTTCTCAGGGTACCCAGCAGGTCCCCGGAAGGCATCATCTTACTCTGCCGGTGAGTATTTAACTCTGGAGTGATTTCTCTCATCCTGGGGCTGACACTTTTCCAACACGGTTCCCGCAACTGGCACCTGCTCCTTAAACTGGGCTTTATTATTTGGCCCTGGCCTCCCTGTGCCGTTGCTGGCAGCGGCTGATACGCACTTTCTCGCGGGCCTGCGCGGGGCCTTCCCTTGCTGACGTGACTGCTTGGCCTTATACATCCAACCACGTTCAGAAAGCTAAACATCCAGGTCTTCTGCATCATCTTACTGTTGACCTAGAAATAGAACTACATTATTTTTCTGGATCTGGTTCCGTTACCCACTGCAAGCACCTCAGGCAGCTTGATTTTGTGTTTTGTGTTTTTTGTTTTCTGGGTTTTGTTTTTGTTTTTTTGGTTTCTTGTTTGTTTGTTTTTTTGGGGTTTTTTTTGTTTTTTTTTTTTTTGGCAGCTTCAATTTTTAAATCCCAGTCTGATTACACACAGCCTGCATCCAAAACCTGGGTGTTCTCAGCAGCCACACAAGCATTTTTGCCTTTACATCCCCCTTCACCAAATCAGATGCCTCATCCTAGATTCCTGCTACCCCCGAAGAAATTTAGTTAGGGCACTGGAGAGATAATTCTCTATTGCTGGGAAACTCTCTTTTGTGTGTGCCTCTCTCCCTCTCGGAATCCTAATATCCCTGCTGTTCAAATACCAGGTGTAATTCCAGGATTGAAAAATAGCATTCAGACCATTTCTTTTGCACAGTATGAATCAAGCATTCTTAACATGTTCCCTGTATGCACTGGGCCTTTGTAAATATATTACCCACTGGAGTAGGACAAATACAATGTTGTCAAGTGAATGGAACTGTGTATAAAGCAAAAGCTTTGAAAATAAATGCCCTGCTAGCAAAATTTGGAGAGGCACTGCAAAACTGTAGAGGAATGTTAAGTGCCTTGAAAGGCACATGGAAGAATGTTTTGGTCTATGAAAACCCAGGGTACCGCTCCAGGCTACACAAAACAGGTTACATTAAAAAGGGTCTACAACAGGATTTGGAACTTTTCAAAAGAATTTACATCAATATTTCCTTATGTGGAATATTCTACCAATACCTCTAAGATATAAATTGGCTTAGCCCTTGGCACAAGAATGCCTTCCAGACCCATAGCAAATGCTCGGTAAATGCAAATTGAATCAAGCTTAATGTCGTTTGTTTCATAAAGTCAAACACACACGCATGCATATGCACATACACACACATGCACACACCAGCATTTGTCCTTTAAGATATTTTTATAAATTAATTGGCACCTATAAAATGAGCCCTGGAAATGGCAAAACAGGCTCCCCTCTCTTAGGCTGATGGATTAATTACTAGAGACTAGTGCTGGAGCACTATGTTGAGAAAGATTCTGAGGTCCCATTTCATCCAAGAGGATGGAGAAGCCAGCGTGCCATTTATTTGTCTATCTGGTGGTAGATGTGAGTCTATCACAAAGAACACCGTCTTGTTCCTCTCTCAGGAGCTTAATTGCCTAGGCTGGCATGTCAGATCTCTCCCACTTACTAGTGCGTGAACTTGGGCAAGTCACTGAAGCCCTCTGTGTGCTGGTTTTCTTATCAATTAGGAATAACAACAGACATACCTTACAGGATATCTGTGAAGATTAAAGGGATTAAATCATGTAAAGCATTATGAACTCTGCCGGGCGCATAGCATCGGAAGCCTAGGCAAGTGTTAGCTCCTTTTACTATTACTATTCGTGTATCGTGTTATGTTCCATGACTCTCCTACCATTGACTTGTGAAGGGTAATTTATACTCTCCCCACCACACACCCCACCCACTCAGCTTGTGAAGTGGACTTAACAAAAAGAGAAGATGCAATGGATTGGGGTGTGGGAGGGATCTGTGCCCCCCACCTAACTACTCTGCAGGCTGGTCAATTTCAGAGACTCCCATTGCCCTGGATAAATCAGGGTAGGGTCATACTAACAACCTGTACCCTCCTCTCTTCTTTAAAGAAATAATTTTCCCCACGGTCTGTGGGGGAAATCCAATAAAATTAGATGAGCAACTTGAATATAAATGCGGCATCATTTGCCACCGAATAATCAATAGCTCCGTGTGACTGATCTACCCAAGAGGTTCCACGCAGGTTTCATAAACCGTGGGTGTCCACGCTGCAGGTGTGATGTCAGGGTCAGATGATTCAGCACATGGTGGGGACTTTGACCTTGGGCATATCACTTAACTTTCTCTAAGTTTCAGTTTGCCTGTACGTAAAACTACCTTTCTTCACAGTGTGGTTGCAAAATGTAAGTGAAAAAGTATATCTGAAAATGCTTTGAAAGCTCTCCCACCTCCATTGTGAGGTACAAAAATGCTCTTCTGATCTCACGTGGGCGGAAGGTGCTAGAAGGAAGTGCCATCTATGTTACTATCATGCCATCGTAGAACAAGAAACCGTTCCATAATGAGGCCCCTTTTGGTTTTTTTAGAACCCCAGAACTTCCTGAAGATGCATTCTGCTCAGTGGTAAATAATACCGTAGAGCTGTCGCAGTATTTTAATTTTGACTCATAATGTTTTTGCCCAATTGTATTTTGATACGCGTAATCTGCCAGATTTGATTTTCTTTACCCTCACTGCCCCCACCCCCTCTCCCACAGCTCCAGATGCCGTTTGGCCCACATGCTATTATCATTCAGTGGCCATTTCCAGTTAAGAGTTGCCCCAACAACCCTTTCCAGCAGGGTACCCAGCAGTTTTCTGTGTACTGAAGGAGAAAGGTTTGCAATATATTGATAAGGCAGGGACGGGAGAGCCAGCCAATTTGTCAGGCAGGAAACTTCACAGATGGTGACAGAGCTTTGCAACCAGCCTGCCTTGAGTTGGAACTGGTGAGGGAGTTGCTGAGCCCCAAGGCCAGTCGCTCACAGCCTCCACTCTGTGGAGGAACAAACAGCATCACTTTCTGTACGTGTCTCTCTATGTGTCTTGCCCAAGGTCAGGAGCGCAGCGCAGTGGCATCGGCGTGTGTTGTATATTTCACGATCTTTGTCCCCTTAAATTCTCCCAGCCATTATTTGTCCCCACTTTGCAAATGCAGAACCTGGAGTCAGAGAGAGGGTAGGTGACTACTCCACGGTCACGGGAAGCCATTAAAGGAACCAGGACAGGCTCCCAAGGCTTCTCTTCTCTTCCTCTTGTAATCACCTCTGTCTTTTCTCCTTTCCTTCCTCCTTTCATTCTTTGTTTTGGCTTTTTAATAACTTATGTGCATATTTTAATTTTAGGAGAATGGCATTAAAAAAAATAAAATCTACTTTTGTTTATTTATTTGTTTGTTTGCTTTTGAGAGAGAGAAAGCACACAAGCGAGGGAGAGAGAGAGAGAATCCCAACCAGGCATCATGCTCAGTGCAGCCGCCAAGGCGGGACTCGATCCCACGACCTGAGATCAAGACCTGAGCTGAAATCAAGAGTCAGGTGCTCGACCGACTGAGCCACTCAGGCGCCCCTTGCTTTTGTTCATTTTTTTAATTGAAAACTTGAAAAGCAGAGAGCAGCAAAACATTGTCCACTCTACCAACATTCAAATATAAATAGAGCTGATTCACTTTTTAGTGATTCTTATTCTGTCCTTCCACTCTTATTTCTTCTATATTTGGTGGAGGTGGTGCTCCTTGTTTTGTAGTTCGTTTGTTTTCACTGTTTTAAACATACGGCACGTGCAACTTTGTGTGTTTTACTTTGTAACCGTGTCGTGACTTGAACATTCGCCCATGTCGTTTGGTTTTTGCAGACATCATTTTAACATCCAAGTAATATTCCTCAATAATACTCTGTCTCATGGGTAAACTGTGGGTAAGGAAAAGTGTTGAACATCGAAGTTCCAGACTTCAAATTCTGGTTCTTATCTCTTTTCCTCCTTCCATTCTACCGGTCTCTATTATGAGAACTGGTGGCATATTTTATCCCAGTTGTGCACGAAATTCCTAACGTATCATTCCAGGCAAATGGGTAATTAAATGACACAAACAGCCTCTTTGACATTAAAACTCAATTGTAAAATATTTATATTTTAATATTAAAATATTAACATGTGTATTAATTAATCTTTATGTTATGTTTAATACTCGGATTAAAATATTAATATTCTGAACCCCAGTTACCTCTTCTGTACAGATAGCCTTCACCTCGGGACAGAAGGGGGCTGTCTGATAACCCGAAGATTAACAAAGCAAACTTGAATTTCCAAAATCCGTGCTTTCATGAACATTATCTTCTTGAGTTCTCCTTGACTTTATGAAATTTAACCTTGTAATTTCTAAAGGAAACCATTAAGAGAGACAATACTAACGACAAGTAAAAATAGAAAAATTCTACAAATCGGGGCCTCTCCACCTCAAACTCAGCATCACATACTTGACAGCACTTTTTTTTTTAATGTTTTATTTATTTTTAAGACAGAGACAGAGCATGAGCGGGGAGGGGCAGAGAGAGAGAGGGAGACACAGAATCCGAAGCAGGCTCCAGGCTCTGAGCTGTCAGCACTGAGTCCGACACGGGGCTCGAACTCACGAACTGTGAGATCATGACCTGAGCCGGAGTCGGACGCTCAACCGACTGAGCCACCCGGGCGCCCCGACCACACATTTTTAAATAAGAAAAAAAAAAAAAAAGATGCCTTCTTTTTTTTCAATATTGTCCTGTTCTTTTTCCAATAGAATTCAATATGATGTATTCATGGAAAAGCCTGCCTATCCTTACAAGGTAATAGTTTTCTTTTTGGATAAATCAGATGGAAATTCGTGCTTAGGGATGCTGCTTCGGGAGCCTTTGCGTCCCGAAGCCAGGGAGTAGGGGGGTGGGGTGGCGGTGCAGGGGACAGGCCCCCTGGAGAAGGAGGGGTTGCAGTGGAGGGACGGGGGTCTTGGGGAGTCACACAGAAAGGACCTCCCACCACTGCCTTCTGCCACTCGTCCACTCACAGGGTGAGGGACAGTTCCCAAGGTCCGATTCCTGGACGCCCAGCACTACAGAGAGGAAAGGGCAGGAGCCATCTGAGTCGCAGACAAGGTCTCAACCTGGGAGAGGTGGCAAGGGGCTTGCGGCCGTGCTCACCGTAAACACAATGCCCAAAAGAGAGTTGCCATCTGCCTCGTTCAGGCATGTAAATACCTCCTTCTATGCGCTCAGCTCTGCAGAAACCAAGGTGGGGGGTACCCCCGACTTCCCACTCACAGGCCTAGTCCTTGTGTCTCCTCCCCAACAATCCCTCCCCAAAGGATGATGGGGGGGGGGGCGGGGGGACATTTGTGTCCACCGGTGAAGTGGGTTGGCATTAGATACAAAGAAAGCACGAGGCCAGTTCGGTTATGGTGAGACACAGGAATGAGACCCCTGCTGCTCCGCATTCGGAGCCCACAGGTTGCAACTTGAGGGCTACCCCTCAGCCCCGCGAGCCCGCCGGGTCCTGCGCTCCAGGCTGCACACTGCGGGAGGCTGAGCACTGTGGGTCTGACCGCCTCGCCTCCACTGAAGCAACACCTCAAAGGGAGGGGCTCTTCCGAGGCCCCTTCACCTCCATTGCTGACACCCACAGCGTGTTAAGCAATGTGGCAGGGACCACTGGAAAGGCTGTGACTGGAACAGGGACTCGAGCACCAGGCTGCTTGGGTTCGAATGTCAGCGGCTCCACCCAGCCCGCTGTGTGCCCCAGGGCAGCCACGTAATCTCCTGCGGCCCCAGACTCTTCCTTCATAAAATGGGGACAGTAAGAATTTCAGCCGTATGAGGCTGTGGTCGGGATGAAAGGAGTAGTAACTCACAGGGCTCCCTGAGGGGGCGCCTGGGTGGCTCAGTCGGTTAAGCGTCCGACTTCAGCTCAGGTCGCGATCTCACGGTCCGTGAGTTCGAGCCCCACGTCGGGCTCTGGGCTGATGGCTCGGAGCCTGGAGCCTGCTTCTGATTCTGTGTCTCCCTCTCTCTCTGCCCCTGCTCTCTCTGCCCCTGTCCCATTCATGCTCTGTCTCTCTCTCTCTCTCAAAAATAAATAAAACGTTAAAAAAAAAATTTTTTTAAAAAAAGGGCTCCCTGAGAACCGTGCCTAGTGCACACGACGTGTTCAGTAAGCGCTGTGGCTCGTTGTCATTCCTGGCCTGCTCCCCAGGAGCCACCGCATGGAAACTTAGCACGCCTGCGACAAGAGTCAGGATTCCTGGTCAGCTTTGACCTAAACGTATGCACCCTTCCAGCCCTTTATTCATACTCCAGCTGAGTGGCTTTCCTGTCGCCGAGGAGTGCATGAGGATCGGAGGGGCCCTGGGGCCTCACCTGTGTCTGTCACACGCTTTTTGGCTTGGCTCCCAGAGTCCAGGTCTGGGCCATGGGTGCTCAGAGAGCCCCTGGCTTTTCCTGGCACAAGGTTGCTGAGACACTGAAACTGTGCAAACCACTTCAGGCAGGACGTGTTACACTCACACGTGTTTGTGAAGGCAGGGGGTGGGAAAAGGAAGCAGGTTCAGGTGCAGCAGCGTTTCGTGGGTCCCTGATAAACAGGAAGCCTCCCTCTCCCACTTCTCCACGCATGCCCTGAAGGTCCCCCACCCCGAGCACACCAGGCCCCTCCCCCACTCTGAAACAGCTGACCACGCAGGCCTGCAACCATCCACGCTCCCCAGGATCCAGGATCCATGGCTCTTCCCGAACCCTTCCACTGCAGACGGGGCAGGGAGCTGGCGTTTGGCTCAGGAGGCCAGAACCCCAGCCCCGCCTCCACAGGTGCCCCAGAGACCCTGCACCGTCCCAGCCCAAGGCAGGTGTGGCAGGGAGGACGTTGAGTAAATGTACATGGCGATGGCAATGGCCAGATAGGGCCACCATTACCTTACGTATAACCCCCTCATCGTGTTTGGCTGCTTTGACTTCTCAGAGTCCTTTCATGGGGACTTGCATTACCTCTCGGGGTCACCAGGGAGTGAGACAGCACAGGCATCATCCCGCTAAAAAGATAAAGCCCAGGAGAGTCTCCTGATCTGGCCTTGAGGCCCGGAACAGGGCAAGGGTTGACACTTGCCCGAAGAGCTTACCTATGTCCACTGGTTCTCGATCCCTGTGGTCACCTGATCTAGGATCTGCCATCTTGCCACTTGACCCCACCGCTCCTTTTTAATGGCGCATCCTGAGAACACAGCCACTTTGCCCTAGCCGCAGGCTGGCACAGACCCAGGCCTTCCCACGGGTCCCTTGGAAGCAAAACGAGATCTGTCTGTAGCTCCCACAGGCACTGAGCCTCCCGGATACGGCAAGTGGCCTCCTCCCCTCTCCCTCAACCTCTTCGCCCCCCAGCCTCAGAATGCAGCCCCCTCCCTGTCCCCCTCTGCGTAGGGGAACCCTGACCCACACAGGGAACAGGCCTGTCGCTGAAGGGCCACCGAACCCAGTAAGAACCTTCTGGGACCTTACCTCCCCAGTAAGAACAACGGCAGCCAAGACCACATTGCCCACTCTCGTCTCATCCCCACCGGTGGGGACCTATGAGGGAGGTATGATTATCAGAAAGGTGCAGAAGCCGAAGCACAAAGAAGTTAAGTAGGTTACCCGAAGTTACTCCACAATCGTGCAAGAGCCAAGATTTAAGCTCGGGTCGTTTGACACCGAAGTCCGCGCTTTGTCTACCAACCCCAGTCGCCACCCATTTGGGTTGGCGTTGTCCCTCACGCTGGTCTCTGCCATTCGACCGGTTTACATGAGGTGACCTCAGGGCTGAAATACCCCCAAAGACCCCCAAAATTATGGGCTTTTGTTCCCACTTAAAAGCCAGAGATTCCCGAGGAAGAACACAGCTGTGGTGTTTTGGGGTTGCCCCTTTTGATACTAAGCTGTCAAATGGCAGGATCTCTGCCTCACAGCCACTGCTCTGTCATCAGGCCCTGTGGAAACCTTTCTCCATAATGGCGGTATCTGTGGTGGGCAGACTAGAGGGGACAGGCCTCAGGGCTTGATTTTAGCTGCAGCATCTACTTTGGTATTTTTTTCCACTCTTTCTGAGGCAGCAGTGAGGCAGAAAGGGCCACTGAAATGGGCAGGGTCATAACGAGGAAGGACAGAGAACGTTCTGCAACACTAGAGTGTCAGTAATGGAAGCCTGGCCCACTGGCCTTTGAAGGCATCCGTAGAGACTTCTACTCCAAACGAAGCAGCAGTTGGCGCCGCCCAGAATGGCTCATGGGCCTATTTACCACCATCTACAAGCCGGTCCCTCTCAACCTGCGACATCCACCATCTGGGACGGGCAGAGTCTGCAGGAGACGGAGAGTAGCACCCCACCCCCACTTTCCCAGCAGGCCATAGAACCCAGTGCCTGACCGGACCCCTGTGTGGAAGTTGACCCGCCCCTGTGCTCCCTTCTGACAGGAAACCCGCTCAGGGGACCACCTTCTACGCCGCCCCTCCTTTCATCTCTGAATTGCCCCACGAGTCTCCATACCATGATGCGATGCCTTCCACATCCTCCGTGCAGCAAGATGGAGAACTTCTGGCCTGGCATGACGAGAGCACGCAGACAGAATGGATCTATGAGAATAAGTTGGGTAAGGGGAGCTGCCCCCTGCTGGCCGTCACACAGGGGGCTGGAGGGGGCATGCATTCCGTGCGTGCGAAAGAGCGGGGGCTCCCGCATTGCCTCTCATGCTGATGACAGATCTTTCTTCCCGTGCCATTCGATATGGTACTTTAGGGAAAAAGTTAAACTCCTCTACTAGCCCTGCCACCCCCATCCTCCAGCCCAGACCCCCCTCAGAGAAAGAGCATCAGCAAAGTGCTAAAACAAATACCTTTTTCAATCTTCCCCTCTCTTTTCATTAGCCTTCCTGTTCCCGTTCTACATGAACACAGGCCCTATTTCCCTCGGGGACACAGGCCATTACCTTCCCAGATTACAGACTGGTTCCTCGGGGTGATGGGCTGTATCCGGATGATCACGTGGACAGTGGCAAATGGGATTCTGTCTCAGCAGGCAGGCAAAGCCAGCCCGGATTCAGAACCAGCCAAAATCATCGGCAGCGTGAACTTTTGTAGCCACCACCTGGAGACACTCCAGAGACAGTTTGGCAAGATTGCGTTGAGAATCTTAATCCTCTCCCCAGTTAAGCCCAAAGTCCCCTCACTCTAGGATCCTGGGACGGAACACTGAATAGCATTTCTTGCCGTTATTAATAATTTAAATCCCGCCTTCGTGAGATTGATCCGTCACGGGTTCACAGATTCATTTCACATCTGTAGTCATGGCAGCGGTAAATTAGATTCCCCCATCACCCCCCCCCCCCTTCCCTGCCTGCATCCGTGCCTGCTATATTTTGCAGCTCAAATGTGGTTAAATGAAATTAAGAGCCCGAAACCCTATGAGGGAGGGGGGAGAGGCAGAGGGCAGGGCCACGCAGGCCAGGAGCCCCGTGGCGCGGGCAGCCCAGGCGGGATGAAGAGTATGTTATGGGCTAAATCAGTTCGTGTGGGACTTCGGTCAGCACGTGAGCTCCGAGGGAGCCCTGCGAACTGGAACCATTTCAAAGTCAATAAGCATGACAGCTGGGGAGAATCTGAGCATTTATCTAAATATTCATAAGCAGGATTCTTAAAGCCATTTACTGGGTAATGGCCTGTAAAGGGCCAGTGCTAAGCTTGAAAGGATGTGGGAGGGAAGAAAGAAGATAGAAGAAGGCAGGGGGGAGGGAAGGGGGGCACCAAAGCCTGTCCTTACAGCTGTGGACCCACCTCCAGAGAGAGAGAGCCTCCTGCCATCATTGTTTTATCTGACGTGTTCATTCATGATCCTTTCGGTCCCTAAGCTTAATTTACAGAGCTAGTCATGTCTGTGTCTAATTTAGGTCTGAAGCACTCTGCATATTTGGTCTGTAGGGGCACGTTTTGCAGCTAAGTGTCTTTTTAACACTGAGTTCCTTACAGCCAGCATATGTTTGGTGTTTATTAAAAGTCTAGCCACCCACGGGAAGTGCCTGCTGATCAAATATTGTGACATGGGTGGCTTGGGCCAAAGATGTGCTCTGGGTTGGAGGCTCTAAGCCAGGACCAGGGACACACCCAGGTTCCTGCATTTACGTGAAGGGGTGGTGCCCCCAGCAGAGGTTGAAACACGAGGGACAGCAGGCAATTCTCTAAAATTTGTGGAGGTTTTTCTTTCCCCTTCTGCCTTGGATTTGCAAGCCATCCTTTGGAGAGCACGGCTAACCGTTGGGCCAAACGTGCCTATAATATGTACATGATTCTGTCTGGGCAATGGGATGGGGCAGACAGATGGCAAAGATACTTCCTTCTGAAGTGAAAGAGTTGGAAGAGAAAGTGACGGCGTGCAGGAAAAAACCAGGAAGTACGGAGGTCCGGGAAGGTGCAAGGGCTCAAACCCACGTCAAGAGGAGAGAGAGGAAAGTGACACAGGGAAAATGATGCGTGGGTGACGGGATGGGGCCCATGCCATGAAGGAAAGCCAGTCCTTCTGCGGCTGGAGTACAGAACACTAAGGACTCCCAAGGAGGCAAGACACAAAAAAGAATCTGCTTTCAGCCCGGGGCAGGAGCCAGCCACCCACTTGTTGGGGAAACACAGACATTCAAGGCAAAAACAAGCCAAAACGCTGGCTGTGTAGGGCTGAGGGCCAGCGGGAACAGCAGAGGTGAGAGCAGGCATGGATAATGCGATTCCTCCGGGTCCGGGACTGTGCATCCCTGTCCCAGATTTCCTGTAAAGATGCAGACTTCCAGCCTTATCAGGATCCCTGTCCGCATTCTTAACAACATCCCCAGAGGATTCATAGGCACAGGAATATTGGAGAACCAGAGAACCTCAAGTGGAGGATAAATTTCACGGGGGCTAGGTTCCTCTTTTTAAAGCATTGGTAAGTTATGGGATTGTTCAACCCCCGCGGGCCAGAAACAGCATTTTACATGGCAAGGCCCTTCTCAACAAATAAGACTTTGAACCGAATATGGAGGGAAAACACCCAGATAAATCCTTGAAACCTATTACTATGGAGAGTGGCAGTCTGATAATGAAGGAATGCTAACGGCACAAGAAATGCCTCATGATGTATATAAGGAAGTGTTCCGAGGGAGGACCAGAAAGGCCATTGATGGCCTCAGGTGTCTACCTATCCACGCACAGAGCAGGATCGTAAAGAACTGCAGAATTTCTAACACAGAGCATTATGCCCATGGCTGTAAAACTCCTCAAGACTTAGTGCCTGGCACATAGTAAGCCTGTGTGAGTATACTGTAAATATTTGTTAAATACTTGCAAAATTGTTGTTGAATCCTCACCTGACTCAGGACCAGATATGGTGATAGGAGGGTGTATCCTACTCCCCAAAAAAGTCTTGGTAGGAAGGGGGCCCCGTATAGAAAGATGTATATAAAGAGATACTGTCCGTATAGGAATGTGGGTGGGGATAAACAGAGGGAGGAAGGGCTGTCAGTGGAATTTACTTCAAGCCACCTGGCCGGATGGAGAAGACGGTTGGAAAACTCCCCAAAGTGCAGACCAGTGCCGTTTCCTCCAGTAGACTCAGATTTTGAAAGATCACACGCAGAGGCTAAAAAGATGAGAAGGTTACCTGTGATAAAGGTAGGAAAATGGCTCAAACTTAAGAATAGGGCCAGGAGAGCTGAAGCCCAGGACAAACTTATTCTTCCCAAAAAGTCATTGTTGTCACCATCCCCCTCACCACCACCATCATCATCATTATCATGCAGGCAGCCACAAAAAAAGAGGGTCCTTTTAAAATATGATTAGGGTTGGGCGCCTGGGTGGCTCAGTCAGTTAAGCCTCCAACTTCGGCTCAGGTCATGATCTCACAGCTTGGGAGTTCGAGCCCCGCGTCGGGCTCTGTGCTGACAGCTCAGAGCCTGGAACCTGCTTTGGATTCTGTGTCTCCCTCTCTCTCTGCCCTTCCCCCACTTGCGCTCTTTCTCTCTCTCTCTCTCACAAAAATAAATAAACGTTAAAGATTTTTTAGAAATAAATAAAATATGATTGGGGCAAGAAGAAGATCAAGGTAAACAGGGACACCGTTTATAGTGCAATTCGGAGGAACGAGTCAGAGACAGTCAGGTTCTTTGCTATTTAATTTGACTTCTCTAAGAAGGAAAAGTGATCTCTGGATTGAAATAGATGCAACAAAATTAGGCAAGAAATAGCAGAAACCAAAGGCTGGTGAAAAGATCAGAAGGGAACGATAACTCCGTGTCCTGACCGGGATAAAACATACACCAGAATATCTATAGAGCGAGAGTGGCTTAATCACATGTATGGTTTTTGAGGAAATGGGAAATGAGTCTGTGTGGCCAACCCGGGTCAAAAATACTGAGAGCAAAATGGTCACAAGAAACCAGCATAGGCTAAGGACAAATCAAGGTCCCTTCTTGACGAAGTTAGTAGATCGGGGGAACTGGGGTAACCCAGTAGGCCCACATTCCACAAGGGGGTTCATTTGCAAAGCCTTCCTGCTATTCCGTGGACGAGACGGAGAAATGTCAGGTGGATGCTAATGGAAGATGATAGAATGAGGACTGTCGAATAAGCACCCAGAGATACTGTTTAAGGATCAGAGTCAACCCAGTTTCTAGTGGGGAGCCACAGGGCTCGGGACATTTTAGCACAGACCTGGATACGGACGGAGGAGGAATATTTATATTTGCAGACGACCTGAAGCTGTTGGTTGATGGGGATAATGCAATCAGATTCTAAACAATCCTGACGGGCGGAAACATTGACCCAGGACTGGCTACATAAAGTCCAGCGCTAACTTAGAGCGGATCCTGCTTTGAAGCCCACAGAAACGTTAGGATGGGAAAGTACAAGGTGGGGAAGGCCTGTTTGGGGTAGACACTTTACTCATCCACAAGTTTAAGAAGTCAGTGGTATGACTGATGTGAGTGCTGGAAAAGTTAGCATAACCAAATACAGTTAAAAGATGATACAAACGGAAATCAGTCCTGCTTTAGCCAGCCCCGGGACAGCTGTTCAGCGTGAGGACTGCCACACCGCATGAGAGTTGGACGCAGACTCGGAGGAGAGAGCGGCGCTAGGCAGGCTCAGAGGCTGCGTCATCCGCAGACGTGTTGGCACCAAGGGGGTGGCAAGCCTGGAAGACACGTGGCTCTGAGAGAGGATAACTGCCTTCAAGCATCCATGCTATCCGCACAAGGACAAGGTCTGACACTGCCTGTGCCCTGAAGGGCTAGAGTAGGACCGCCTTCGGGGAAATACGTTAAAAAAAAAAAAAAAAAAAAAGATCGCTAACAAAGCTATGCCACAGTGGGATGAGTTTTCTTCCATTTTATATGATTTTTTTTTAATTTTTTTTAACGTTTATTTTTTTTTGAGACAGAGAGAGACAGAGCATGAATAGGGGAGGGTCAGAGAGAGAGGGAGGCACAGAATCCGAAACAGGTTCCAGGCCCTGAGCTGTCCGCACAGAGCCCGATGCGGGGCTCGAACTCACGAACTGCGAGATCATGACCTGAGCCGAAGTCGGCCGCTTAACCGACTGAGCCACCCAGGCGCCCCTATTTTTTTATATTTTTAATGACGTTGAATTTATTACTAGTTTCCTTTATAAGTTACAATTTTTATCTTGTTGAAGGAGTTCTTCAGCTCAAAAATAACAAAGTTCTTCTCCAGTATTTTCTCTTTTTTCCCTTTTTTTAATGAATATAATTTATTGTCAAATTGACTTACCTACAACACCCAGTGCTCATCCCAACAAGTGCCCTCCCCAATGCCCATCACCCATTTCCCCCTCTCTCACCCACTACCCCATCAACCCTCAGTTTGTTCTCTGTATTTAAGAGTCTCTTCTGGTTTCCCTCCCTCCCTCTCTGTTTGTAACCATCTTTCCCCCTTCCCTTCCCCCATGCTCTTCTGTTCAGTTTCTCAAGATCCACATATGAGCGAAAATATATGGTATCTGTCTTTCTCTGACTGACTTATTTTACTCAGCATACCTTCCAGTTCCATCCATGTTGCTGCAAGTGGGAAGATTTCATTCTTTCTCATTGCCAAGTAGTATTCCATTGCTTATATAAACCACATCTTCTTTATCTATTCGTCAGCTGATGGCCATTTGGGCTCTTTCCATAATTTGGCTAGTGTTGAAAGCACTGCTGTAAACATCGGGAGCGGCTAAAATGAACAAACCAGGAAACTACAGACGCTGACGAGGACGCGGAGAAATGGGAACCCTCTTGCACTGCTGGTGGGAATGCAAACTGGTGCAGCCGCTCTGGAAACCAGTGTGGAGTTTCCTCAGAAAGTTAAAAATAGAACTACCCTACGACCCAGCAATAGCACTGCTAGGAATTTACCCAAGTGCCACAGGAGTGCTGATGCACCGGGGCATGGGATGAGTCTTCTTAAAAGCTGGAGAGGTCCTTGACTGCAGAGGGCTCAGCCTCAGCTAAAGGACTGATAGTCACGGATGCTGCACGGGTGCGGGAGGCTTGCGTCCTGACCCCTTGGCCCAGGCTCGAATCCTGACACCCCCGGGGGCAGGTGGAGCAGTTTGCCTCTGCTTTTTGACCACTGGCCTGCTAGTCTCTGCTGTGCACACACAGGACTTACATACAGGACATGTGTGCGCGCATGCATGGGTGTAGGGATAGGAAGAGGGAGAGGTGGGGAGGGCACAGAAAGGAATAGGGACTACAAGATCCCACCAGACATAAAATAACGATAACCAAGAACTTACAAAAGTCCTCAGAAAATACAGTAGCCTCCCATTGCGTATCTTAGCGGATCGTACTAGATAGCCCCCTTGTGTCCCGGCCAGCTCCCATCGAACACTCCTCAGAGAGCACCAGGAGGGCAGACATGCCCACTTCCCGTAGTGACACGCATACCCCATACATTTCCACACGGCTTTGGAGCGACCTGGAGCTCCAAAATCTCCCCCCATACTGTTCTGTCTATCCTGAGGATCCTAACTGGCCCTGTGGTGACCAGAGGAGGAGGCCACAGAGGGGCTACGTGTCCCGACCCCTGGTTCACCGCAGTCCTGGATAAGTTAGCAGAACTAAAGAGGAGGACAAAAGGCAGGGGGTGCATCCAGTGCCCTCCAATCTGCTCGTCCCCTCTCGCGATCAGCCTTGGGCATCGAGGAAGAACTTCGGGCCCTAAATGTCTAATATGGATCCCTCGGAAAGTGGGAGTTTAAAATCGCTAATGGCCACCTTCTTCTGTCTCTCAACAGCACCTGCAAAATCAAAATCAAAACTAAAACTCTCAACAACCACACTAACCACTGCGAAGTCAGATTTGGAAGGTATTTAAGTCTTATGATCTTATGATGATTTTATTTATTTTTTTTTTAATTTTTGTTTTAATGTTTATTTATTTTTGAGACAGAGAGAGACAGAGCATGAACGGGGGAGGGGCGGAGAGAGAGGGAGACACAGAATCGGAAGCAGGTTCCAGGCTCTGAGCCATCATCCCAGAGCCTGACGCGGGGCTCGAACTCACGGACCGTGAGATCGTGACCTGAGCTGAAGTCGGACGCTTAACCGACTGAGCCACCCAGGCGCCCCGATCTTATGATGATTTTAAATGACTTGTAGAAGTTAACAAATCCAACCACAAGAAGGTAAGAATAACAGGATGAGCGTGCCCCCGGCCAAAGAGAAACCTCCTTTGACCTTTTAGGATACAGCGATCTTACCTAAGGCCAGTGGCCAAGGCATTATTTCTAGGGCTTGGTGCCAGGCTCAGGGACCAAGGAAGAAATGGAGCCAAAGGGTAAAGTGCTTTTAAGTTTGGATGAGAATTGAATTTTGAAAAGGGAGGTGAGTGTATTTACCACTGGAATTGGAAGGAAAGATAATAGGTTACCCTTACTCAGTTTCTTCCGTGACATTTACCGTATACCTACTGACACTTAATTGTTCACCTACTGCGTACTGGGCAGGATAGAAGATGGACAAAACCATCACAACCTCTGACAGACAGTGGCCACGCTTGCAGTGAACGTAGCAGGGCACACAGAGCTGTTGAATCACTACGTTGTGCACCTGTTCCTCCAGGAGCTCAGTGTGCCCGTGAAAAGAAAAAAATGACACCTTCTCAGAATTTAAATTCTGGTGGGCGGGATGAAGTGTGAACAGAGGGAGGGGAATCACTATTTGTCGAACGTAAGCAACAGGCCTCAAACTGCCAAAGACTGTGGAAGCCACTTACCCCAAAACCCACGATCTCCACTCGGTCTCCCCCAGCTATTTGGGACGTGATTTTTAAACCGATTCCCTCAGGGACCCAAAGGTCCAGACAAGTTCACCATACCACGTCCTATCAATAATTGTTGCCACTCTTTTTCAGTGTGTGCTACCCCTGACGTGGCTCATGAGGAGGAAAGTGGTAAGCGCCCGGCATAACATATCCAAAGATCCCTGCTCCCCGCAGAGTGTCCTGGGCTGCGGGGTGGTGCCCCGGGAGGGTGGGGCCCTTGCTGGTCCAGCTCGCACCAAGTCCTCGAGAGGACCCGGGGCCGTGCTGGGCACATGGCCTCTGAACTTGGATGGGCTTCCGTGTCCTTTCCTGAAGAGGAGGAATAGAATGAGAAACAGAGAGAGGGTCTCTGGAGCAAGACGGAATGACCTGGGAGAGAAGTTCATCCCTTACTCAGGAGCCCCACATTTCAGGAGGGTCTAGCTGGCTGCCGGCATCCCCGAGGGCTGGACAGCAGGGCTTGACAAGGACGCGAGGGCCCGTCCAAATAGACATATCCAATGGCACCTTGGTAGGGAATAAATTGGAGCCCCCCCAAATGGTGCCTTGAAACACGTTCGTTCTTCATTAAGGAGGGCTTAGTTGAATCCTATGAAGGGGAAAGACAGGAGGGAATCCTGATGGTGGCAAAATCCCCACTGACACCTCCCACCCTCACCCCCAAAGCAAAAGCCCCACAATTAACCAGGCCCATCCTATTAGAAACAATTTAGGGACTACAGTATCTTGTCTTTCAACGTGGTAGGGGCTAAGGGGGAGATTAAGTCTGGGACACACAGGTGGCTTATCAAACAAACTCTCAGACTCTAGACAATGTATCCCACCCGCTACCCAACCCCGCCCCCCCCCCCCAGAAGGGTACCGATCAATAGAATTGTCTTCATCTTAATCCATTTCCAGGGAGGGTTTAGAGCTGTGCCGCTCAAACTTTAATGGACAGAACGATCACTGAGGATCTTGTTAAAATGCAGATTCCGGCTCAGTAGGTCTGAGGTCCTGTATTTCTCACAAGCTCCCAGCAGCAGCTACTGCTACTAATCCATGGGCCCCACTTTGAGGAGCAAGGTTTGAGAACAGCTTATAGACTTGTGCCCTTAGCAATCACCAGACGAGCCAATCCCTCAACCCACCTGTCGAGAATAAGAAGGAACTTACTACAGGAAAGGTCGAGGAGGTGAAGGCAGGACAAAGTTGCTTCTGTTGCCTGTTTATCAGCAGAGCTAGGTTGCCCATTTTTCAGAGCCGGCCCCACGGCTCATGCTTCACTGCTTCCTCTCTCCCTTTCCTCATCCACAGTGGGGGGATCTGCCCTGCAGGGGCGGCTCAAACATCTCTCCCGAATTCGGGAACTATGGTTCCGGCAGGAAAAGCCATTAGAAGAGAGGCACTGATTGGATGGAGAAAAAATTAAGATCGGTGCTTAATCGGCTCCAGAGAGGACACAGTCTACTTTAGGGAATCGTGTGTGCCTGGCACCTACCAACGTCAGCCCCGCTCCTCTGTGCTGCCCTGAAGACGGGCCTGACACAGAAGAGGGGACCAGAGAGAGCCGAGGGGCTGGGTGACAGGTTGCAAGTAGCCCGTAGGGCCACGGCTCAAGGGCCTGACACTTCCCCCGCCCCCACCAACCCTCCCATAGGGCCTCACAGGAGAAGATGAGCAGCTCACCAGAACAAAGGTAGAGGTAGACAGAAATCCCCAAAGGGAAAGTGAATTAGGCATTAGGCATGAAACTTTTCCTTGTTGTTAAGCCCCAGTTGTGGCTGTTGCTGCACATCTGCTGAGCTTGTCTTGACATGGAGACAGCGCCAGTTGACGTTAGTACGGTTAATTATTATGTTGAATCGAACCCTTCAGAAGGCTGTCGTTCGGCATTCAGGACTGCCAAGCCACCTTCTTCCCGCGATAAACACCTAGTTTCGTTTCCGTTCATTTGCATTTATTCCATAAAGCCTATTCAAATGGGGAATCACAAATGGTGGGGACTTGCTAAGCTATTTGGCCCAGAGCCAGGCTCGCACTCTCAATCTAGGGTGGGCGCACACTTGAAGAATCTTCCACAGGAGGCACCTCCTGCCTCTCCGTCTCTCCAGACGCATTCTCCCAGGTCCTCCACATTCGCTCTCCAGTGACCACCACGAGGAGCCTCCCCCTCAGAGCTTGCTGGAACTCCCATGGATTGTTGCTGGGTGTTCCCGAATGGCTTTTCAAAACGTTTCTCGGCCGTTTCCGTGTTTCTGGGGGACACAAGGTGTTTCTGGAATCAAGCAGAGAGGCCCCCGGGCCTGGTGTCGGTCCAGCTGAGTGGGGGCTCTCTATCCCAACAGAGTTTTTATTACTGAACCAAAACTGGGAAGAAGTGCAAGGTAAACGTGTGCAGAGATCACGGAGAATCTTCTCCATCCCCAAAGGTGTCGCAGAGACACAAAATCGGACACAATAAGTCAGCCCTGCACCAACCTGGTGGATTTTCAGGGCTCTCTGGGTGGGCCGGCTTCAAGGAGCTGCTGTCATCCTGAAGCTGAGAAAACAGGCCCCAGTAATTTCCCTGGGGGCTCAATTACCGTCTGAGAGCCCGTCCCTGAGCGCCCCCCTCAAGAGCCACACCTTCCCGGGAGCAGGAGATGGGGCCCAAGATGTAATTATCAATTCCTTGATTCAATTTGCACCCCGTCGACACTGGAGGCTCTAAGCCCCTCTCCTGGCCCAGGCTGTACCTGACCTTGAGAACAAAGGCATTTGCTCTCTGCTTTTCATGCGCTCACAGGCTCGAAAATATATCTCTTATGCTTTAATTCGCAATTAGGAGCCGTACGTACGTCTGGAAATCGGCAATTTTTTTACAACACTGGCAGGAGTTGGGAATATTCCTCAGGATTTCCAAGAGGAAATCACACTCAGAATAGATCTCTCCCAGAATAAAATCTAAAATTCTTCCCATAGCCTATAAGGTCCTCTGTGAGCTGGCCTTGTAACCCCTTCCCCCCTCCCCCATTTCCACTCCCGCTACCTTCCATATTCACCCCTTTCCAGGTATACTGTGCCTCTTACAGTTTGTCAGTTATGTCAGCCACACTCCCACATACTGTCACCTCAGGGCCTTTGCACCTGCTAGCCCCCTGCCAGGAATGTTCTTTTCCAGCTATCTGCCTCCTTGTCCACTGCCTTACTTCATTCAGGACTCACTCAAATGTCACTGTGTCAGATGAACCTTCACCAGCCACTAGTAACACACACTTCCTAAAGTCAGCCACTGAAACTGACCCTTTTATTCCTATTTTATTAATATCCCCCAGCTTAATTTTAGGAAATTTGATGAGTTTACCTAAAGCCTTATTGATGATGCATGCATTTTTATTTAAAAGGGCAAAATGCCGTAACTCTGTTTCCTTTTGGTTTTGGTTTTGTTTGCTCGTTGTTGTGGCTGTTTTTCCAAATGCCTTCGCTTCTGCTGTGCTCTCCAAAATCAAAAGCCATGGAGTTTGTTTCTAAAGAGAGCTTTTGGGACGATTTATTACATGAACCCACGAACTCAGTGGAAACTGAGAGCTACGCTAACAAGGTAAGTCAGGTAAAAACTCAAGCCCACCTTCCTCCAGATGTTGGAGCAGTGTGGCCCCAGGCCAGCGGGGAACTGCCTCTTGGTGCTGGGATTCATTGCTTCGTCCCATTGTTAGCATAGCCCAAAGGAGCTTTTCTTAAAACAGATGAAAATGTAAATGCCACACATTAAATCGAAGTGGGTCAGAAGAAAACCAAAGGTAACCCTCCATGGCCCTACTTTCAGAGCCCTATTGATAATATAATCACATTCCAGAACTCTTTTAAAGGTGGCAAAGCCCAAAATAAAACATTCAATTTATCTAGATATCAAGGCAAATCAGTCTTTGTCGAAACCTCAATAAAAATGACGTTAAATTCTAGAAAGATGGAGTAGATGTACTTTTCCCACTTACTACGGCTTAAAACCCTAGACGTTATATGAAAAACAAATAGGAGAAGCCTCTGAAGGACTCTTAAGTATAGAGAACAAACAGGGGGTTGCTGGAGGAGTGGTGGGAGGGGGGATGGGCTAAATGGGTGAGGGACGTTAAGGAATCTACTCCTGAAATCATTGAGGCACTATATCCTAACTTGGATGTAAATTAAAAAATAAACAAACTATTTAAAAAAAAGAAAGAAAAGAAAAGAAGCTTCTCAAGGGTGGAGAAAAGAAAAGGGTGGAGAGGGGCACCTGGTGGCTCAGTCGGTTGAGCATCCGACCTCAGCTCAGGTCATAATCTTGCGATTCGTGGGTTCAGGCCCCGCGTCGAGCTCTGTGCTGACAGCTCAGAGCCTGGAACCTGCTTCAGATTCTGTGTCTCCCTCTCTCTCTGCCCCTCTCCTCCTCGCTCTCTCTCTCTCTCTAAAATAAAATAAACATTAAAAAAAATTGAAGGGTGGAGAGCGATCAGACTGGCTAGTAACCTCATGACCCAAGGGATGACATGGTGGGGAGTTTCCTGAGTTCTCTTTTTGCTTCGTATATCCCTGGTGATTAAGTGCTGAAAGACAGCAACTCAGAAACCCCAACAAGCAAGCCTGCTGTCTCTGACCGAAGGACAAGGAACGGGGCAGCCTTGCAGGACAGACACTGAGACAACAGCCTGCGCCATGCAGGCTAACACCGCAGCAGCTCGTGGCAGCTAGCCTTCCCCACGTCCTGCCACCACGACCCCTCAGAGGGACACAGAACCGGCCCCCCAGAGTCCGCGGATGTCCCTTCTCCAGCTGGACCCCATAACCAGAGAGGAGATGGGAAGTTGCAATAGTTTAAATAAGCCTTACATCTACAGTATGCTGTGTCCTCTTTCCTGCATGAAGATTTTACCCGCTGGTGCAAGCTGGTGGCTCTAATTTCCTGTGTCTACTTACATCTAAGATTTGCACGCCGATTCAGGTGGAAACATTATTATGCATCCTTTCCATTACAGCGAAGAAACTTTCTCAGGACTGTAGGTACTAACGACAATCACAGGACTGAAATTTTGTGTCCCTGGAACTCAAAATTAAGCCGATATATTCTTCTGAATTTACAATAGAAAAGGTAGAAAGATTTTTTTTTCAGCAAGAGTTGGAATCTGAATTGTTTTAAGTAGAAACTTAAATTACTCAGAGCCCTTCGGCACCCCTGTCCGCTGAGGTGTGCCGTACCGGATGGAGCTGCAGTCTGAGGCACAGGGGAGGCACCTCCCGGGAGGTTGTGCACAGCGCACGGGGGAGGCGCCGTGTAACAGGTGCACTACACCACGCTCGCCCCCACCCAGCCCCAGACACTGGCCTCCTCACCATAGGCAGCCGTACGGGTTGGAAGGCAGCCGAGCAACGTCACTGGAGGCAGAGGTGGACAGGTGGGGCCAGAGCAGGACAGAAAGAATGACGCAAATGCCACATGGTACCTGTAGCCGAAAGACCTGTCAGTGTGGACTTTTGAGGCCCCTTTTGGGGGAATCCCGGAAACCACTCTGGTACAAACTAAAGAGAGGGCGCTAAGTCCTTCTATTTGGATAGGGGCTCTCATACTTTGGCTATTCTGACAGCTCGGCTCCCTTTGCTGCTTTTAGTTCACGATCCACGCTTGTTTTAATTCCGTGACGTCCCCACGCCTCACAAACCTGGCTGTGCAAATGTTTTCGGTTGTGGGAACCAGAGATTCACCCGGGAGAGGTCTCTGGGCATGGAGAACCCAACACTGGGGTACTCGATACACCTGCCATGGTGAGGAGGCTAGCTCTACTCTACAGGCAGGGGAAGCAAATGAGACAGACCTCTGAGAAGTCACGTGTGCTGGCTAAATCAAGTAGGGTGGCACAGCCTGGACGGGACGAGAACTTCAACGAGGCCCACCCCGTGGGTCTGTTGTCGGGTGGGCCACAGCGGGCACCGTGGTTTCTGGGGAACAAAACTCAGAATCCAAAGACGATGGGGAGAGATCACTGGCCCAGGCAAATAGGAAGTCACTCCATCCCAAGGGAAGAACTGTCAACAATGAGGAATTTAGAGGCAGCCATATTGGTGCCACGGGCCCTAACCTCTACCTGCTCAGAAGCAGACTCCGGTTCTAAGAGATAAACTGAGGCCTACAAAACATTTTAAGAGTCTACTTGAGCATATGTCGATTCGAATTGTATACCACCAAATCGGAAGTGGTTAGGAAGTGCTCTGCTGGCGGGAGCTGGGGAGAGGCTTTTATAAAGAAGAGGCAGAAACAGAGCAACAAAAGTTTTGATTGGCCGTCGCTTAAAGCCCGTTTGGCCACTTGCGATTGGTGGTCCTTAGGTTTCGATTCATAACACTGAGGCATTTTACAGGCTTAGATTTTGGCTGGCTTACCTAGGCCCCATGACACGAGAGCCACCCACCTCTGTGTAATAGCCTGCTTGGTTAGCTAACTCAACACCCCCAGTTGGAGAGGAGCTGCGGAGTCTGGGAATCAGGCAAGCCGGACGTGAGGCACCCCAGCCTGCCCCCCCCCAACCTGAAAAAACCCAGCCAACCACAAGCTACATTCTTAAATTTGTCCCAGCTCACACACAACTTTGGATATGTCGGTCTTCCGCTTACCAGAGGAGGCTAATACGTTAACGGCATACAGTACGTTATCGGATGTTGAACAGCCATAATGGCCTCAACCTCAACCTCACATCGTGAGCAGGGCGACGTGAAAGCTTCACGGGTATTAGAATCACAGATTTGGGATAGATTGATCAGATTTACAAAACAAGAAGGCAGCTTGAAACATCATTACTTTGGAAGAATCTCTAAACGCAGAATTGGCCGCTACTATAACGTGTTAGGCGTTAGGTGCTACCCTGCTTTCCTGAAGACTGCCATCCTTCACAGTGAAGCAACCACTAGGAGCTTGGCCTTTCCTGCAACTCAGAAAGCCTGCTATGCTCTTAAATCATGGAAGCATTTTTAGGCTCTATAACCATCTCCACATTTGGGAAATGGAGTCTTTTATGCTCTGGAAAGATTTATTGCCATGCTCTGTTAAAAAATTAATAATAATATTACATATTATATATATTTTATATATGTGTGTGTATATATATATGGAGAGAGAGAGAGAGAGAAAGAGAGAGAGAGAGCAAATGGGGGATTGAGGAGTATGAGAATAATGGAAATAGTCTTTAAAACAAATCTTACTGGCCACCCTACTGTTCCCATGGTTTGTGTTTTCCTACTAGCATATTGAAATCTCACCAGGCACTTTGGGGAGTCAGAAAAGTGCTTAATTATAGTAAGCCATTAATCCTCCTTTTCCGGGTATTTCATTCTATGTTCCTTTTGTAGGTTCTCAACAGCTCCTATCAGGTAGTGTTTAGGACCGGGCTCAAAGAAATGGCTGCTCGCCAAGAACTGGAAGAGGATATTGACATCCCCCTGACCGGGATTCTGGAGAGTGAAACCAGGAGGAAACTGGGAATTCTGTAAGTGACTGGAGAGATCAAGCTATTGGTCAGCGGGTTCAGGTAGGCCAGCGGTGGCAGCCCGGAAAGCATAAACTGGGCCACCAGAGAAAAGACCAAGGCCAGGGCCAGGCAGGTCCCCTGAGCCAAAGAGCGAGCACAGAAGCAAGAGAAGGTCAGGGGCAGGTAGACAGAATGATGTGGTTGCCACCAAGAGCAAGGAAATCTACGAGCACGGGAGGTACAGGATAGGATCAAAGGCTGGCAGTGACAGAGGTTGGAGACCCAGGGCAGGAAAAGTCTTGGAGGTACCATGAACTTATACAGAAGTCCCGAGAGCAAGGGTCAGAGCCCTGGCCTTTCTTTTAATAAAAGGAGCAACGGGGGGTCAAGATCTTGGGCATCTGCCAAGAAATTCCCTAGCTTCATCATAGGCTAGCTAATGCTTTTGCATGCTCCCTGGAGTGGGAAAAGCCCTGAGCTACACTGACCAGGAGAGATGGCCAGAATCCCCATTTGGAGTGGGGAATGATAAGGCTATTGCAGACCGTTGCTGGCACCAAGTCTTTCTAGTTGTCACGGCCCCAGGTCACAAAATGTCCCCAAACTCCCATTTGTACATCCGGAATGTGCTGCAGAGAAACCTGGATTTTCATTTATCCAACTATCGGAAATCGTAGCAAGCAAGGTGCACGTTCCAGCCTCCTGCAAGTCTTTTGCAGACGCTGGCAGTGACACCAAGGAACAGGCTGTAGGGGTACAGGGTGCCCTGCATAACCTCCTTGATGAATTGAAGCTTTCTCCAAAACCAAGAAGAGAGGCTGACTGCCAGCAACTTCTGCTTTGGGCTCAGTAGAGTCCTGGGGCCAGACACCCCCGAGGCTTCTCTAGGAAAGGAGAAAGCAGAATACACAGAGTGAAACACAAAGAATACCCAAGCTTCCAGGTCCTTACACAGCTACAAAAACAAATGCAAAGTAACTCCGCTGTGAGTTACCGGGCCCCATATGTGACATTTCCCCACCTATTCCATCCCACTTGGGCCTATAACCAAGGTTCGTTCTAATCTGATTGCACTCAACAAATATTTCCTGAGCACCTACTAGGTGCTGATCTACTATGTGTAGATCAATCTATAGAATATATAGTCAATCTATAGAATAGCGGGGATCTCAGAGTCTCTGCCGTTGAGGAGCCGGCTGGCAAGAATAGGCAAAGGTGGGCAAAGAGCCAAGGGAGGAAGCTTTTCAAAAGGGCCTTGGGTGCCTGTGGCTGGATCCCCTCACTGGAATTTAACCCTTGCGTCCGTTTGGCATCCTGCTCTCGACCTGTAAGTCAGGCTTCACCCCACCCCCGGTTTGGTCCCTATCCTTTCACAGATGATGTCAGGCTAGGTAACTGCTACGATTCCATTCAAAGTGCTTGCAGATACAACAAATAACATTCAATGCAAATGGGCCATGAAGAGCTCATTCTCAAGTCCCGCCACTGCTTCTAAAGTACAAACAGTAAACCGGCTCTCTGCCCCGCCAAAATAGCACAGCCCTTTCCAGCCAAAGGTATTTGCTTCCTGGGGTTACTTGAGGTTAAATTATTCCACTCTCCTCAAGGAATCTGAACTGAGCACTTAAAATCGGTCAGGTCAAAGGCCTTCTTCTCAGATCCAATTAAACCTGGGAAGCTCACTCCTTTCAGCACATTCCCTTTCAAAGGGGCTCTGATCTGAGAACCAAGAAACGCAGCTGCCCCGGGAGACCACCCTTATTTGGAACAGAAACAGCCCAAGCCAGTGAAATCCCAAGACGACTTGCTTTGTATATTGACAGGAGAGGGGGTAAGGGCTTGATTATTTTGAAGAACCAGCCCTCAGTGTGGCTTTCATGATGAGTCATTTTGAATGAGAGTATTTGAAGTTTTCCCACTAAATGCAAAGGGGTTTCAAGTGACTCTGTCCAGCTCACAGATGGTGCCGTTTTTCCCAGCTATTTCCAAAGGTAACCTTCACTGGGATATGCACCAGCCATAGAGAAAAATCAAGCTGCACGAGCTTAACTCCTAGAGCCGTTTCACATTTGGACCTCCCAGTCCTGTCCTAGCTCCCAAGATGCCCCTTGTTGAACTCGTTTAGAAGGATTTGGGTGTCAGCCTAAAGTCCAGGAGGGAAGCACTGGGTCAACACCATGTACTGTCCCTTTATTCCTGAGTAGTGAGTGGAAGAAAAACAGCCCCCGAAACAGCAGAGGCACGAGCCCAATTCTTCAATAATAGAAACACTCGGCAGGTTCTAGCACTGTCTACACTGTGTAGCATGACACGTAAACATGCATTCGAGATAATTCACATTCTCTTTAGGTTGAAGAAAAATTTTGGAAAATACAAGCAAACAATCCTCTGGATTATGAAGAAACGTGAAAGTAAGGACTACTCTCCTATTTTTCCATCCTGTGATTGCCTCTTACCTTCTGCCACGAACCCTAAAGGAGGCAGAAATGCTCACTGCCTAACCACAGCACCTACTGGACTAGCAAGGTCCTCGCTTCCAGGGATAAAATACCAAGCAAGATGGACACAGTCTGGGACCCCCTTATCCTTTTGGGGGGAACTGTGGGTAAAGATAGATAAGAAAGTAGGGGATTCATGTATGGAATGGTTAAGTGCTGTGGTAGGAAGAGAAGTCCATAGAGCCCCATATAAGAAGGGATCTAAACTAGATTGGAGGGGCTACTTAGATCATTACCAGATACTGAAGGCATCTGAGGTCCAGCTGTTAAGATTTCCCCATCATGGTGGTTGCCAGTGTTTTTAAGTTTAATCACGGAGGGGGCATCTGGGTGGCTCTGTTGGTTAAGCATCTGACTGTTGATTCTGGTTCAGGTCATGATCTCGGGATCATGAGGCTGAGACCCACTTCAGGCTTCACGTTGAGCATGGATCCTGCTTAAGAGTCTCTCTCTCCCTCTCTCTCTCCCTCTCTCTCTCCCTCTCTCTCTCCCTCTCTCTCTC